AGACAAATATTTAACTTGTACTATTGGTTAAGAGCATCAGAAGCATTAGTAAACACCTGCTCCCCAACAGCCCAGAGTGCTGTCAATAGTAGTGCCCCCTTATCCACAGGGGATATGTTTCGAGACCCTCAGTGGATTCCTGAAACTGTGAATAGTACCAAATAGTACACATGCTATTTTTTGCTATGTATACATACTTATGACGAAGTTTAATTTATAAATTAGGCACTGTAAGTGTTTAACAGCAGTCACTAATAATAAAACAGAACAATTATAACAACATACTGTAATAAAAGGTACATGAATGTGGTCTCTCTCAAAATATCTTACTGTACTGTACTCACCCTTCTTCTGTGATGGTGTGACCTCATAATGCCTACGCGATGGGATGAAGTGAGGGGAATGACGTGGGCACTGCGACGTACATAGAGTTAGGCTACTATTGACCTTTTGATGATTCCTCAGGAGGAGGATGGATCATCTGCCAGACTTAGGTTGATGGCAGGTAGCTGAAACTACGGAAAGCGAAACCACAGATAAGGGGAGACTACTGTATCATAAAGCTCGTTATGCATTTATTCCCCACCCATTCTGTACCAGAAAGAATATGAGGAATTTTCATGTTATTCCATTTGTTCATCAGAATAATCCCGTGAGTGGTGTGGGGGTTCACAGGGAAAACAGTGTAGCACAGAGGCAAATAGTGAATCTGTGGCATCTTATTACACTGATGGACAGTGCCTGCGTTGGGGTATGGGTGGGGACTTGATAATATGGGTAAATGTGGTAACCACATTGTTTTTTCATGTGAAACCTTCATAAGAGTGTATATCAAAAATACCTTAATACAAAATTTAAAAAATAAAAAATAAAAAATAATACTGTGAGGTAGGTACTGCCATTTTCATTGTTGTAAGTGTAAAGTAGAAAAAGGAAATGGTTTAAAATGTTAGCATTAAAAAAAAGTAAGGAAAAAAGTAGATTTAATAGACAAGGGTGATAAGCCCAAGTCACTGTTTGTTACATCATATTTATAACTATTATCTCACTGAACCTCACACTTACACTTGAGATTGGAATGATCACTTTTTTCCATCTTATATATAAGTATTCTGATAATCAGCACATTTCAGAGTCTAATTTAAAGTAGGTAATACAGGAAGTAGGAATTATGAGAAGAGATTCAGGTTTATACAATTCCCATATCAGTTACAAAGCAGTGGTTTCAATCTAGGACAATGTGGGAAACGGATAGAATAGCCTGTAGAAGGTGGCCAATGGGGAGTAATAGGAAACATCTGATGTAATCCATTGATTGAATGTACAAGATGTTTTGGAATCAGAGCATTGGATATTTGTACTCTGGGGAATGTTTGTACTTGATGGACATGAAGTTTGCTCATACTCGACAACTCTGTACTTGAAAATTAGTTATAACTCTCTTGGTTCATAAGGAAATTGTTATATATAAATAAATGATTTTATTTAACATGGGAAAATAAGTAAATCCCTCCCAATAACTCAGGGATTTTCAGCCAGTACATTTCTATACATGACACCAGAATCTGAACTACTTCTGTAGCAAAAACAAGTTAATGTTAAATATTTTAATGTCATATCCTTGTTATAAGATGTACCAGCTTACCAGTACAGTGTAAAACAGATATCTACATGACTTGATACCCAAATTATTACCAATCTGGACATTGACTGAAGTTAGAGAGGCCATATCTTTAGGTATCATTGGTTAAGGAAGTTCTGCTTAGCACAGATCTTAAGGGATAAAACAAAAAAAGAGCTTTAAGAAAACAGAGGGCATAAATATAATAGATTTGGTCATTCAAACAAGTTACATTCTTGTTCCCTGAGTGGAATTTTTTTTTTTTAAATAATTAATTTACCAACTGAATCCTCTTGTTAGGCATTAGGTTTGGTACTGGAAATACAAAGATGGGTAAAAATGTTCTTGCTCTGTAGGATTTCATATCTAATGGGAAAACACAAGTAAACTACTAGTTACAATACAAGGAGGTTAGCTCCATGATGGAAACACGAATCTATAGCTGTGAGAGAGGTAGGTCCTGAAATGGCATTTTTCATCCTTCTCCTGGCCTGACTTCCAAATGAGCATTTGTGTCTGCTTGAACCAAAAATGTCTATGAATAAAGAAAAACCTTTTTTTTTGTTCCTAAATATCCCTCACCCAGCTTCCCCTAATGTTGACATCAAAACTAAGAAGTTAACATTGGTACAGTACTATAGTAGTATGTCTCCATTGTCTAATCTGACAGTTTCTAAGTCTTCCCTTGCCTTCCAGGGCCTTGACATTTTCGAAGACACCCAGTCAGGTATTTTGCAGACTCTCCTCAGTCTGGGTTTTCTTATGATCAGATAGTAGGTGATGTTTGCTAAATTATTCCATGATTATTGTTTTCCTTTTGTAGTTCAGTATTTGGGGCCAATCCCCAAAGTTTTGACTGAATAAATGATCCAGACCTTTTCCTTGAAAAGTCGTATTGATGGCACAAAGTCATTGAATAGTCGAAACCATATCACAGGCCTAGGAATGAAATGATATTTATATGAAGAACATCCAAGTATAAGGTCCACATATCTATCCTATAAATAAAGTATTCAAACTCACTTTCCAGTGGGAGAGAGAACACAAAAGAGACAAATGAAGGTTATCTATTGATGACTGGGGCATACAGTGTGTGACACACACACATCGAGGGTCTCTCAATGACTGATTACTAAACTATTTGAATTTAGGGATTCGTTGATCATAAAGCTAGGAGCACAGATACTTCCAAATTTGCATGTCCAATAGGTTGAAAGGCTCCTTTTTCAGGGGCTTAACTAAAAGGGATGACCACCCCATTTTAATCAGGATTTATTTCTCAGCTGGCCTTCATGAGTGACATAATCGAGTAAATTACATGGAAAATATTTCTCTGGAAAATCCTGGCATGTGATACTGATTTTAGAAGTGGGTATAAAGATAGATTGGTTAGCTATGAACATTTATACTACTGAAATATTAAAAGGAGAACAAGTATGGAATTGCTATTTGCCTGCTGTTTGTAGAATAAAGTTTGTTGTGCAAAGCTGAAGGTATATCAATACTTTCTGGTGATGGATAATAATCAGGTTATGGAGAAACAATAGAATAACTTGTAAAACTTTGATTCACAAATCTGCTAAATATTCTATTTGAGAAATATTTTGGAAAAAATATGTTAACAGTGGTGATTCCCTGGGGAAATTTTCATTTACAGGTCTCTACTATTGAATTTTATTTATTTTATCAACCATGTTCAGGTACTATTTTTAAATTAAAAATACATCAGGAAATTAAAAAATAATTCCATTTCTACTAAATACTAAAGCCTTGCCATAAAGTACAATAAAGGGAAGAACATTAGTAAATTAGCTTTAATAGAAGTTAACAGAACTGAAGGGTTCAGGACACTGTTAAAAGATAGTTGTTTGCAACAATAGCTTGAGAAAGGGATTCTAAATTTATATGAGACTCAGTGGATGCCAGAGCATGTGATTGGTTAGATGTTAAGCTAGAACATAGATATTTTCCATTTCAAAGGAGTTTATAATTCAATAAAGCAAATGTTGAGAAGATCTCTTGTTCATTTAGATTTTCCATTATCTCGACTTCTGCTTCAGGTATTAAAATTAGAGAAAGGGGGCCAAGATAAAATTACATTTCTGTTCTGAAAAACAATAGAAAAACTCATTTGCTAGAAATGATATTTCACTGTGTTGATTTTTACATAACTATTGGTATATAGTAAACTGGAGTACATATCATGAAAAAGCTAAAGGGGAAAATCACTTAAAAAAATATACTCAACAAAAACAATCAGTGAGGGTTGTCAGGCCTCACCTAAAAGCAAGTGTTCCAAATCCGCTGGCAAGAACTGTCTTCCCCCCAACACCTGAGGTGTTCTCCCCTTCCCTTCTCACTAAGAATGAGGGCCTGTATTTCCTCCTGAACTGCAGGTGAGTCCTTCAGTGCATTGTAACACAGAATCCTGGCAAGTTAAATGGTAGGTAAACACAGGAACAGGATACAGAATAAGTAAACATGAACAGGATATGGCTTTCTTGCCAAAAAAAACCCAACTCCTAAGCCAGTATTTAACAAATGCTACCCCCGATGAAGCATATTCATCGGTTTTTCAGTTTTTTCTTAATGTAAGATTCCCCCAATTTTTATCGTTCCACGCATTTACTTATTTCTACTTCAGCAGTTGAGCTGCTGTGTTCTGTTCACACTCCTTCGTTTTTAAAGTGACCTTAGACCGTTTTGCTGCAATATTTGGAATTAAGAAAATAACAGCCTGCTAATTGTCTTAATAGTAAACATGGTCATCTTTGAAAAGATACTTCTGTTTTGTTGCTATGTTGGAGGAAAATGCTGGTATATATTTACTAAACAGTGAAGTCCTGGGCAAAGTAGGAGTCGCTTCTGATTTCTTAGAGTTCGTTTTCTTCACCATTAAGCTGATTCTGGGTCCGGAACAGTATTTGATCAGCAGATAGTGATGCGCGTGCTGGTAATGAAAGACAAAGCAAAGTAATTCTTGAAATGCCCAGGGAAAAACTTTTAATGATTCCTGTGCGACGCTTGAGTTGTTTTTAGTTAAACCTCCAAAACGTCTCTTGCACCAGGTGTTCGTTTCCACTGCAGGACTTGCAGTCATCCCGCCAGGACTCCAGCGGCCTCCCCTGTCCCCTCTGGCTGCCGAAGTTGCCTTTCCCGAAAGCGTAGGCAGCATTCCTCCACGCGTGGACGCAACTGGCTTTTCCCGGTGGCCCGGCTCCACGTGACCTCCCCTAACACCGGCGCGGCCGCCAGCTCACAGCGCCCCCATCCCCTCCGCCAGGTACCGGCCGCGGCTGGCTTCCCCCTTCCCGTAAGGTCACGGTCCGGGTGCGAACCTCGTTCTGCGGGCTGGGGAGGGGCTGGGCAGGGGCTGGGGAGGGGCTGGGCAGGGGCTGGGCTCCGGCCCAGGCAGCCGCTCCTGCCCTCGCAGACCAATCATCACATGACTCCGCGGCGGCGGTAGCCGCGGCAGGAGCCGCGCCGGCTACGCTGGCTCGCCGGGCGGGCTCAGTTCCGCTCGCGCAGGAGTCGAGCGCGGCGGGCGGGGCGGGACCTGCTGCGGCGCGGGCGCCCGGCCGCTCCCAGAGCGCGCGGCGTCTCCCGGCCCGGCCGGCCTGTCCATGCCGTTCCGTTGCGGAAGTGTGGTGGGGGGCGGCGGCGCAGAGCGCGCGAGGCCGGGGCTCGGCCCCCTGCAGCACTAGGCTCCGGGAGCCGCACGGCGCTCCCCAACGGACCGGCTACCCGTGCGTTCGCCGCAGCCTGCATGCCACGCGCCGCGCAGCGCCGCGTCCCCGCCGCCGCCTTCTGCTCGCACCGCTGCCGCCGGGCGCCGGAGTAATATGCTCACCCGAGTGAAATCTGCCGTGGCCAATTTCATGGGCGGCATCATGGCTGGCAACTCAGGCTCCGAGCACGGCGGCGGCTGCGGAGGCTCGGACCTGCCCCTGCGCTTCCCCTACGGGCGGCCCGAGTTCCTGGGGCTGTCTCAGGACGAGGTGGAGTGCAGCGCCGACCACATCGCCCGCCCCATCCTCATTCTCAAGGAGAGCCGGCGGCTGCCCTGGGCCACTGGCTACGCAGAGTAAGTGTAGCGACGCCGGGGCGCCCGTACTCTCTCGCGGCCCTTCCCCGCACGGTTCCAGCCCTCCTAGCTCCTTGCTCGGTGGCCCCAGGGCCCTCCTCCGGCTGCCGTCGTCCAGGCCTCGGCGGGGACCTGTATACTTAAGCTGATCGTTTCCTTTTCCCCCCTCTCCTCCCTCTCCCCCTGCCCCCAACGCCAAGGACGCTGCGCCTCCTGCCCGGGTGCGGGTAGTAGGTGGGTGGGTTGCCGCGCTGGACCGTGGGAAACCTGGCGGTCGGACGCGTCTGAAAATCCGGGCACTGTGACATTTGGAAGAAAGCGTGTAGAGCAGCTCTGCTGAAGTTTGAAAGAGCAGGGAAGTCTGGTACCTGCGCCCACCCTCCACCCTCTAAAAATCTTTGTGAACTTTGTGGGAGAGCCTGTAGCTCTCACTGCGCGGTGGCGATTGGGGTGGGGGCGGGGGACGGAGCCCGAGGGCATCCGCGTGCGTGGCTACACCTTTCCGAAGGGCTCCGTTTCTCTGACTTGGGCACGAGAGCTCCTGCGTTTCTCGTTTAGTAGGTAGTAAAACCCTGCGCGTCCGGTAAATACCGAATACTGTTTCCCCCAGTCTTTGGGGAGGGGCAAACTTTCTCCAGGTGGCTAGTGACAGCATTTTGGTAATAGCTGTGGCGATTAAAACGGTCCTTTAACGGATTTACTATTTCAAGAACGGTGTAAGTTGACCACCTGGAGTGGAACTAGGAAGAGTGGGAGTATTGTAACGGCCTTCCCCCCACCAACCCCCGCACTCCTCCATTGACTGTTAATGACCATTTTATGACTAGTAGGCTATGTGGGTATATCCCCCTAGTCAGCGTTATAGAACTGGGAAACTTGGAAGGTGGAAATGGGGAGACCAGAGTTCCAGGGTGAATAACTACCCGGTGGATGCAAAACTGCACTCAAAACTCTAGAGGGAGGCACACCTGCCCGTGTTCCTTTAACTCCATCGGCTCTGTAATCTTGGCCCTCCCCTACCCGAGCACAGCCTCGCCTCCTGATTGGTTTATCCAGGAACCAATCAACTCTCCCGACGCCTTGGCGCTTTGATGCTGACCCTGTGCTGGTGGTGGCCCGGATACCCCGGAGCAGGCACGGTTCTCAGAGCTCCGGGTTCCTGTGTGAGAGATGGTTTGAAAGGTGCTCTGCCTGGGAGCTCAAATTCTCTTTCCCTTCCCATTCATCGTATAACCTTTTCTCCACGGGTTGAAAAACATGTAAATGGAGATAGACGACTGGAGTGTGAGATGGTGAGGAAACACAAGAGTGCTGGGTGCTAAAACAATAAAAACACATAATAAAGGACAAGGTTGGTAGAGAACGTTGGGGCTGGGGAAGTACAAAATAGCATTGTAACTTACAGGAGAAGGCCGAAGCAAAAATAACCCCTGTGGAAGGAAAGACCTGAAGGAGAAAAAGGTGCCTCCCAAAACGTACCAAGCACTGTATTTTGACTGCGGGGTGGGGTTAAAAGCCTATTTGGATCCTTTGCAAGACAAAAGGTAGCTTGGGGGAATACTTGCAGGGGGGCCCTTGTGCCTGCCCCAAACGATTTTGTAGGGCCTGTTGTTACGCCAGTGCCCGGGCACTTTGTGTTAGGGGCAGAAAGGCAAGCAGGCAGATGGTGAGAACATTATAAAAGGAAGATGTCGAAACATACACGGAGCGTGGAAGCTACTTGGACCCAGTAAAAGGGATGTCTCAGAAAAGCAGCAAGGAAGGAAAGGGGGGGTTTAAAAACCACCAGCTTTGGGATGTTTGGATCCTGTGGTGGGCACATGTGCCAAGGGGTTGTAAAAAATATCAGTGAATCTGAAATGAGACATGTAATAGGATGGATAGTACTTAGAGGCTCTAACTCCTCCTAGCTGGGCCTCAGTTCCCCTATTTCTAAAAAGCTTGTCCATGAGAGATACTCAATTGGAAGGTTAGAAAGGCCCCTGCAAAGTGTTTAATGTTAATACTTGTGAATTCAAGCAAAGTCCTATATACAAATGTTAGCCCCACCCTGGGGTGATGACAGCTCAAGGTCTGAGAGCTGTGTGTGCCTCTCTAGACTTCTTTGGATGCACCTATAAATTCATAATCATGCCTGCCTATTTTCTTCCCCCCAAATTCGCACACAACCCTATAAGGTAGGCACTAACATTTCAGTTTTATAGAAGAGAATACAGAGGCACTGAATGGTTAAGCATCTTGCTCAGTCATACCACCATAGCAGAGCATTTATTTGAGCCTTAGCAGTCTGACTCCAGAGCCTACGGCACAGATTACCTCCTTACAGTGTGTTAAATTATGATGCATCCATTTGTAATCAGGATTAACCACTAATATTGTCTTGCCACCTCCTTTGGTGTACTATACCACTTCCTCAAACCTTGAACTCCAGTTCCCTGCAAAAATACATCCTGAATGAACAAAATGGCTGAAATAGGAAAGGGGAGAGAAAGAGAAGCAGGAACTGTGACTGTGATCAGAGGCTGCTACCAGGATCTACTGGGGGGACAAATTCTCTTTGTTCTAGAAGGTAGAAAGAGAGAGAGATAGAAAGAGTAGGAAGATTTCTTAAAGGCTGGACATAGAATGCTGGTGAATGAAGGCCTGAATTGGAAGTGGCTTGCTTACCCTTCTAGAAAGTGAGCTATTCTCTAAGCCTTCCTTTGGAGAAAAATTTGGTGTATCTTGGTAATTGAGGTTTTGGGGAGGGTTGAGCTCCAGTATTGATGACCTTTGTGGGAGAAAAATTAAGAAGAAATGTTGTATTTTTTTTGCCATTTATTTTTAGTCCCTTTCAAGAAGCAAAAATAATGAACTAGAACTCAATAGAACTAGAGATTTAGCTAAAGCAATCCCTTTAAAATTTGGTGGTCCAGAAACTGAAGACCCTTATTTATTAATTGTGTATTTATTGGCATTGTGCTGGCCCCTCAAAAGGCTTCTTTATGTGGCTGGAAAATTTAACTACTTGATTAAGGGCTATGTGCTAGGTTTCAAAGCTCTTGTAAAGCATTGCAGTTACAGAAACATCCATAAGAGCTAAAATCTTCCCCAAAACATGCCTTAGCAAGTTTTTACTTTTTAGTTTGGCTTTGAAATCGCTGACTTAGCCTGTTAGATCTGCTTAGAGAGAGTCCATGGGGAGCAGCAATCTGACCAGAGACCCCACAGGGCAGCTACTTCCTTTCTCTCTCCACAAATTTAACTACCACCCAAGTGGTTCCTGTGCTTCAGGGACCAGAAAGGCACTTCAGTTTTTAATAGGTTAGGAGCCCATTTTGACTCTGATGTTGCCCATCCTTTCTCCCATTGACGGTCTTTTGGATTTAAACGTACAAGTGAATATGGAGTTTGTGCCTGGAATGATGGGAGCTAGAGAATGCAGGGAATGTGCAGTTCTGTGTATGCAAGCATAATATCCAGGTTTTTATCAGTGATAAATTTGCTTGTGCAGCAAAAAATAGTATAGCATAATTTTACTTAGGTTATAGCTATTACTATACCATTCTTTTTTTCCCCCTGTACCCTTCTTATAAAAGTGCCCCAGACATGAGTAGATAAAAAAAGCTGCTTTTGAAAGTTTCTGTTAAATATACATTGCCTAAGTTTTTTGTGTCTCACAAAGTTCAAAATTGTGAAATTTTTGATGAAATAACCTCATTTAAATCCAGTGAACACTCCACAACGATTTGAATTTATTTTGGAATCTGTAGGCTATCTCACCAGTCATTGGCACTAATTAGCAATTACCAATAAATTGCATTAGTTGGCTGTGCAGTGATGATGACAGAGAACCCACTATTCCTCTTGCCTGATCACTCAGAAATCCCCTGGCCTTTCTTTTTGCCCTCTGACCTCTAGCACCAGCCTCCCTTAGCAGAACTCCTGGCTGGGAACTTCCTGTTTGACTTAGGCAGCTTGAAGGGCCTTGAGGTTCTCCACTTCATGTATAAAGATAAAAGGAAATGGATTAGGATTGGGTGGTTCTCAGTTAGCAGCGCTCTCCATAGCACTTTTTGCAGATGAGAGAGACAAAAGTCCAAAGTAGCCTGAAATATTTCACCTACCTTTCTGGTAACCGGCAGAAGGCATTAATTCCTTACTTTAAAGCAAATGGCTAAGCTCACCTCCATCTTTCAGATTTGACATTATAATGAAGTTATCCCCTCTGGAGTGGAGCTTCTTTGCTCTCCTTTTTGTTAGGAAAATGGATCAGCTTCCTTCAAAGACTGAGTGAAGCTTCAGATAGAGGATTTAATATTCCAGTTGCTTGTGTTTATCCTGTTTCTGCCCCGGTTAGGTAGACATAATCTCTGATACTACCTTACTGCACAGTGCTTCCTAATTGTTAAAACAGTACCACTTGTTAACTTACAATGCCTGCATATTAGAATTGTTTTCTAAAAATATATTACTGAAGTCATTTTTTTTATTGAGGTATAACTGCCATTATAACACGTTAGTTTCAGGTATACAACAATGATACATGTACGTATTGTGACGTGATCACCACGGTTAGTCTAGTTAACATCCATCACCATACAGAGTTAAAAAATGATTTGAATTTGAGCAAACAGTTGGGTCTTAATCCATGGGATGCTTGGGGGCGGGGACGGGGGTACTCCCGATTCAACTTTTACACCATTGGCACTCTGCAAATGCTCACTCAGTCCACATGCTTTCCGTCACTTAGCATTGACATAATTGAGAACTTTACTTGGGTCAGACTGAAAAGTAGAAATAGATGCCACATCTCTTTGCTATGCTCCTGTTTAATTATATCAGTAGGAAATTTAATAGTTGAGTCACTTCTCTCTTCAGCTCTTAGCCAGTCAGATGATACTATCTGAGGAGTATAGTAAATGCCAGAATATGTTGTCTAAAAACTGCTTAATGATGAATGAAGACAACTTTGCACTGTGTTTTTTCTTACCTCAGAGGTAGATATTGTCCATTTGGAG